CGTGCTGCCCCGGCTCCCATGCCAGCGCTGCTAGGTACCCACGTGCGGTTCTGTCTTCGGCTTCTTCTGTCGCTTTTTGCCTTTATTTTTGGGTTCGGTTTTCTCTGGAACAGAAAAAGGAGGAGAAAAGGAGAGCTCGCTCATTGGCCGGGCAGCAAGATCCATCCTGAGCCCCATCCCTAGGATGCGGCTCCCACATCCTCCCTCTGGTATTAGCATAGGGCCCTCTTCCCGATTTAGGGGACACCAGAACCCTCTCCGGGTCACCAAACAACAGCGGTCAGGATGTTGGGACCCAAATCTCTGCATGTCCCAAGGAGCTGCCCCAAGCACCCTCCGGTCAGCCGAGGTGTTGGTGCGGAGACACCAAAGCCAACAAGGATGCGGGAAAAGTCCCCACCATGCTGCAGGCTCCGGTAGGAAGGGAAGCCCATGCTGGGGTGCAGAACAGATGCCCAAAAACTGGGCAGCTTCACCTCTCCTTCCCTCCCTGCACCCACCATGCGCTCTCTTGACCCCGAGCTGGCTGACATGGGGGGGTCTGATGCTGCTCTCCCCGCGCAGCCCCCGTGTGAGGGGCATGGGGACCGCGACCGGCCGGTGCCGCATGCACCAGTGCTGCTGTCGCCGATCCTTTCTGAGGGCTCCAGCTCTTCTCCTGCCCGGCTCTGTTTTTCGGCTCTGATCTCCCAGACAGTTGCCACCCACAAAGGAGAGGGCACAGCACGAACACCAAGCGTCTGGAGAGCGCGGCAGACACACAAGGCAGATTTACAGCAGCATGAGGGATTTTGTGCCTCAGCCAAGCGCGGATGCTTCTCCCTTCCAGCTGCCCGGGGATGGCTCAGAAGTGGTGGCACAAATCTCTCATCACACGGTCGGGTCCCGCTGCCTTCCCCGGCTCACCCGGGCTCAGGGTGTCTCAGCTGCATCAAGTGAACTCGCCGTCCTCTTCCAGCATCTGGATCCCATAACCCAGCGCTTGGCCGGGCGGGCAGGAGCCTGGGAGCGAGGGTAGATGCACGCTCCGCCGTGGCGGGGACGCCGAGCAGCCTGCTCAGGAGCTGGCGGCCAGGCCAGGCTGCCAGACACGGAGGGGCTGCCCTCTTCTGCCCACCCGGCCAGGGCAGCAGGCGACGGGGTCTTGCTCATGGGGCACTGAAGGGATTTCCCTCTGCCTTCTTGGGGCCAGACCTGCCTCCAGAGCTGATCACAGCCTTGAGAGAAGAGCCCTGCCATTCCCTGAGCCCATCACCGCGGCCTCAGGGCTCCCGGCTTGCAGTAACGCGGTCAGAGCCAGGAGGCCAAGCGCTATTCTGGGGTGTCATTGCTTTCCCAGTCACCCCATGAGATGGGGGGGCCTCCAAGGCGTTGGCACCGCGGTCCCTGCTGCCAGGACCCGGTGTGTGCCAGGCAGTGCTGGGCACAGGCACGGTGCCGCCGGCACCCGCTCGACACCTCGCCGCAGGACAGCGTGCTCCAGAGCGTCCTGTCCTCCCACGCCAAACTTGCCACATCAAACTGTCACCAGCTCTCTGGGTCCAAAGCCGGCACAGTCTGGCAGGGAAGGGAACATCCCCAAAATCGATGCCACCTGGCGCCCCGAAGCTGCGAGTCGGGGCCCGGGTGGGGAAGGAAAGCGGCTCCTCCCCGCTGTGCGCAGGAAAACATTGTTTATGATTGATGGTGCTGAGATGAAGCTGCTCTCCTGGCTCCACGGCCCCAGCCCCAGCACACACGTCTTCTGTTATTGCCCCCCTTTCTCCATCCTTTTTCTCTCCCCGCCCTTGCAGTCCTTTCCTCCACCGCCCTCGCCACCCCGCCGCGCTGGCGGTGCTGGCCGGCGCGTCCCACGGCACACAGTGAGCCCGCAGCTCCGAACCGCAAACCTCTGCACCGCTGGGGCTGGCGGTTCAGATCTCCTTCCAGGCCCTACAGATTGGTATCTCATGCAATCCCCCTTTCTGCCAGTTATGAAGATTTATTAGAAGAGCTTCGGTCCAGCCGGTTGCATCCAAAAATGACATCAGCCGCCTCCTGGTTCCCATCACCAGCCACGCGCCTGCGCCGCCCGGCCGGACCCTGCACCACGTCTGGGCGCTGGGATAGGTGACGGGGAGCCCCCAGCCCGGGGGACGCGGTGCTGCCACGGTGGGAGGAGGTGCAGAAGCAGGGGCAAACATCTGGCCAGGTGAGCCATGGAGGAGGACTCTGACCTGGGGTGTCTCCCACAGCTTTGGCCATCAGAAATCCCCTGGGTGATGCCCTCCAGCTCCGAGAGCGCTCTGGCTATTTTGGGGGCTCAGAGGTTTTTGCAGGAACCTCCCCTATGGGTCTCAACCCTCCTTATTCACAATTGTGGTGCAAGAAAGCCCTGGCTGTGCCTTTCCCCTTGCAAGCACAACAGGACGGGAGCCGGAGCTCGGCAGCCTGGTCCCGCCACGGTGGCTCAGCCCAGCGCCCGTCCCAGCCCGGTGGTGGAGGGGGACGCCA